CTCCTCCAAGTAAAATTGCTTAAGGCAGCAAGAGGAAATTCAGCTCAAGAAGTAAAAGCAAAGCCAGCCTTCCTGCAGGAACTAAACACTTTGTGAAAGCACACGGAGCGGAGTGAAGAGTGGATGGCCATGACTGAAATGACTGTGACAAAACAATCTCTCTGTATGTCAGATGGATAAAATAACAACTGACTCCACTGTGGAAATTCAATTGAAACTCACTCATATCAGGCCTGTGGGCTTTCTCAGAGAATGGAAATTAAGATTGTAGTAACCCTTCTCCACCTGTTCAAATGTGTCCCAGTTCTCCATTTTTCCTCAATAAGGAGACAGGGAGGATTAAACATCTCCTATTGCTCTTGGATCCAGTTTGAAATTGTTGAGTATTTCACAGGAAGCAATTTTAGGAGGATAATGTCTCTAACTTGGGCTGAAATCACCTGAGCACCTGTGACATTTCAGACTGAAAGAAGGACAAAGTTCCACAGAGCAAGTCACTTTTACTGTAATCACTGCAGTCACTTCTAGAGACTTTGACACAAAAATATTTTATTCCATCATATTTGGGCAGTTAAGACGAGCCTCCATGGAAAGGGGAAGCCAACTTTTCTTTTTTTTTGATAACATTTTGGTAGTCAATTACATTTAGGATGAATTCCAATGGATTGTTTTCCTCCCTTTGATACTATTCAGGATACAGAAGTGTTACAATGGTCATCTGAAAGGGTTTGTATTTATATTAAGGATAACGACAAATTTCAACAGTGGTTTGCCTCTGAAACCTGCAGGTGGCGTTTCAAATTACAGACATAAAACAAAAGAGATCCTGTTCTGTACCTTGCTGTGCTCAGTAGTGCACAGGACTTTGGTGGAGTCCATTTCCAATGAATGACTCAGGGAAAAACAAAACCTGAAATGTTCACATGAAGAGGATACTGCTAAATTTCAGGTCTGCTAAACTAAGGAGAAGCTCTGTCCTAGGTGTGGAACCCATATGGAATATTCCTCAAACAACAGCACTAAAACCTTTTCAGAGTGAGCAGGCATCAAATCAAATGTCCAGAGTCAGTGGAGTCCACTCCACCAAAAATTCACAATTTGTAAACACCAGGCCACCGGCTTCATCTTCAGGCATCCACATACATACCTTTCAAAAATATCCTATTTATTCCTTCTCTGATTCAAATCTCCTGTTTCTTTCCCTCTGTGTTACATCTGAGAGATTTGTACAGAACAGATCATAGCAGAGGGTCTAATCTCAGGTGAGGAATTAAAGTAGCATTGTACTTAATTATTTCTTATTTCACTTTCTTTCACTTAAGATATTCCTTTTCTTTTTCTTTTCTGTTTCAAGCTCTCAAGAGTGATCAGCTATTTTTTAAGGTATTAACTAGCTTATTTCCAGCTTAGAGCCCTACGTGCATAGGATTCTGCTCTGCAAGACATTCTCACTCAGTAGACATTCTGGCATAAAATCTTAAAATCCTTGATTTGGAGAAAAGACTTTGCCATTTTTCTACCTGCTGCCCAAATAGGAGCAGTGACTGTCTACAACTCTTTAATGCTGTTTCAAATGATTAATTCATGCCTTAGACCCGAGAACACACAAAATATCATGATGAACTTTTGCAAACAGGAAAACAATATCTCCAGGTATTTGTGTTCAAGGTTTGATTTATGTAAATGACATTTTGCATGTAAATATGCAGCCACTCATTTCACTGCCTGCCAAGAGGCATTTCAGCTAAACCCAATGATGCTCCTCTTCATCTAAAATGTCATGTTCTCATATGCACCTACTGCAAAGGTTATTGCACACATCTGAAAGTAAACAAATTATCTGGCAAATTAAGCCTCACCAAATTTTTGTCTTTTCTTCCTGGTTAAAATAACTTCTATTAAGGAATATGGGTCCCCAGACAAGCATCCATCAATTCTGAGCACCTGACTTAAGGTGATATGAAAATACTAATTGCCTTCCATTCACCCCAAATAGAGCTGAGTCCCAGCTCCAGGGGGATTGAACAGATGTGCTCAGAGCATACCAAGCCCTGGGGCTGCAGGCAATCTTGTCTGCAGAGCTTCCTTGGAGTTTTATGAATAACCAAGGCCTCACTTTCTGTCTTTCTCAAATCTGGAGTTGCACCCAGAGCCCTGCACGAGTAGATAATTTAAAACAGGATATTGCACTGGCTCAGTGTGTGTTGAGATCTGTCTCTTCAGAAAAGCGGGAGTGGCAAACATCACAGAGCATCTCTTATTTTTCTCCTTTTGGAGTTCAAAAGGCTTTCAGGCTTCTGATCTGCAACTAGAAGATCTGATCTGCTACTTCAATTCATATTTACTGAGTATCTCTGATGTGTCTATTGTTTGCTCTACAGCTACTGCAGCATGGCCTTCCCAGGGATGCTTCCTCACAACTGAGGCTGCAGCAGAAGTTCCTCAGGCACTCCTGGTGATACTGCCTATATCTACCTATACATTTGGCATGTTATAGATAGTTCTGGGGAGAATATGAAACCCAGGCTCTGAAAGATAAATTTGGGTCATGATGATTACATGAGCCTCACCCTCCTGCTGCAGGATGCTATAGTCACTGCCTCTGTTGCTGGGCAAAATTCATTCCTTGTCCTGCCACAGAAAAATTCTCCAAATTTCAGGTACTGTTTTCACCCTTTTTTCCCCCCTCTATATTCTTTCCCTGTCCCGTCCTCGCTGTTTTTGATGGCCTGGAAAGGCTCAGGATGGCCTTGGGACAGCCCGCGCTCCAAAGGACGAAAAGAGTCTTCAGGTTTTTTCTCGGACTTCAGTGTTTATTAGTTTTTATCTACAATATTTTCTCTCGGCCCGACAGAGGTCCGCACAGCACGTCGGCCATGAGCACACTGAGAGCCCTCGGGGCGGTCACTTATCTTTATACCCAAAACTACGTATAAGATATTTACCTATTTTCCCCAATACCTTTCCCCCTTATTGACAAGTGCATTTTTAGTAAGAACCAATCCCAAAGTGCCACCACCACCACAGAAGATGGAGGCCAAGAAGAAGAAGAAGAAGGACAGGACACGTCCTAATTCCTCCATCTTGTTTCTCTAGACCCCCCTGTACTGAAATTCTAAACCCTGTGTTTCACACTATAATTAACCTATCCCTTCACCATTTATCCCCGTGTGATCCTCCCATCCTCATACAGGTGTCGTCTCCTGTGCAGGATCAAAGTCCAGCCACCAGACACTTCTGGCAACATTCCAGGACCTCTGAGTCCCCCAAGGGTTATCTCGGTGACTCTGCACATCAGGACTGCTGTGCTGAGATCCCACATTTCCCCTCCTATATTATTTTTAAGTAATCAAAGTCTGAATTATTGATCCCTTCTCTAGCAAAACAACTCTGTGCTCTGCATTTTGTCACAGGTGCAGGAAAGCTGCTGCCATGGAACTGCTCTCCTGCAGTGTGACATTGCCTGCAGCTCACAAGTCACCTTTGTTTCCTCTCCTACATTGTTGAAAGAGAAGCCCCAGTGAGGCCTGCCTCATTTTAGTCTCTCTAATGTCAGCTACAATAATATGTATACATGTTGTTTTGGGATGTAGAAATTAAAAAAAATCATAACTTTCCAATTACATGCCCAAATTTTCAGTTGCGATGTCTCAGATAGGATTTCTTTCTCCTTTTCACAAACACCTGCTATACACAATGAGGCAAAGAAAAAAAGGACTGGAGTCTGTCTGAGGAAATTTAACTTTTTTTACTTTTAAATCTAGCAGGAAAAAAGGACTAAAATTCAGGTCTTGTTTCTTTTCTTTTCACTTTCATGCATGTTGAACCTTCTATTAAAAACAATACAACAAAGAAGATCAAAATGAAACATAAAGAGGAAATGTTCTTTCATTTTCAATCACAACAAAATTGATGGTATTTTTCACTGCAAGAGCTAAATTCCTCCTACTTCAGACTGAAGGATTTTTTTCTTCCAAACTCAAATGGCACATTTATATGTATCTCCCATAAATTAGGGGACCCTGTAGAGGTTGCTATTGTTCAAATGGTGTTACTTTGTTTTTCCAGTGAGATTGTTATGGTCTCCTGCTGTCCTTCAGCCCTGTGTGTGAGCTAAGTACCAAGTTTATTTTCCCTCAGAAGTTTCTCACTAAGGCAAGCTAGGAGGGGCAGCCTGTTTGAGTACCAATGAAAGGAAAACACCCTTCAGGTTTTAGCATACAGGAACACAAGCAGTAGTCTAATTGCTTAGAAGGCTGAAGGTTTGCTCTTGAGCATGGATCCAAACCTCACACAAACACAAGGCCCACACAGATGTCCAGCAAAGTTCCCAGAAGGGTCTGTGATTATCTGCAATGGAGGATGAGTCAAATGTTAAGGCAGTAGAAGAATCAGTCACTCACCTTTATAATTCATCCTTTAACCAAAGCTTTGTTTTAAATATTAATTTTCTCCCAGTCTTTAGTTCATTTTTCTCCCCTTCCACCTGAGTTTTAAAACTCAGGTTTATCTACAGAAATGAGAAGTCTGTAATCATCTCAGTTCTGTGCCTATACCTGGAGGTTAGTCAGTCTCCAGGCCTGAAACAGAAGTAGAGTTCAAAGTACATGTCTCTGTCCTGTAGTTGTAAAATAAGGCTGCCCTTTTCAGAGGATGCCAAATTATTGCTCCTTGAGCAAGAGCCAGCATCCCAGGAAGAGCTCAGCCTGAGCCAAATCACCACTTGTGCTTGCTACTTACTCTGTGGTGATAACCTCTGGCTCAAAACCACATTTGTGGCACTCAGCTGTAGAAGAGATGATGGGCTAAATTGCTTCCTGAGTGGCACTCACGAATAAATATTTGAACTGATCAAACAAAAAACAAGACTCTGAAGCAACAGCAAAACCAGCAATTAGTTTAAATTTGTCATTGAAAACGTAAATTTTTTTGAGGCTGAAAATAGTTCAGCTACAACATTTTGCCAAAAGCCACAGCACACTATATGATCTGTTTTTCAGGATTCAGCAAAGGGAAAGAAGACAAAACAGAGGAGACCACAGACCCAGCAGTGCCTCCATTTCAGCCCCGAGTCTGTGGTGTTGCCTTGGTTCCAGGTGCCATCAGGACAGTGACAGCACTTCAGCCTCCTGACAGGATGGTGTGAAAGAGCTGGTGGGGAGCTGTGGTGCTGCACTGAGACCAAAGCCCCATCTGGAGGAACCCGCTCAGTAGTTTCAGCTTCATACTATAGTACCCAACCCACCTTCAGAACTGGGGGCAGGGAGCAAGACTGCACTTGCAGGACATTTTGAGCACCACCACTAACACAGCAGGGATGTCTTTTTCTGTAGAAAGGGCTGCGTTAAAAGAAACAGAGTTCTGGACAACATAAAAACCCCACAAAATGCTCTGTGCTGTATATAGACATCCTCTCTGGAGGTGATTTTATGCTCTAAGCCCACTCATCTTTTAAGCTTCCAGCTCCAATGAGAAATAAATCAAACTTTTTCACAGATGTTATTAAGATCATTCACGTGAAACTGCCATTCTGGTGCTGAAATCCAGGTGTTTTGTTTTATGCAGTTTCAGGTGGGTCGTGTGTTCATGAGGCTGGGCCCCAGACTGGATTTTAAGTGCAGGTCCTCTGAATTGCTACCTTGTGCCAGGCAAGTACTTTCCTGTTCTTTTTGTAGATTTGTAACTTTCCCAGAATTCTCCAGGGGAGATTCAGATTACCTGGCATTGGGCTGCCTTCTCTTTAAGGATCTCTGCATGGCTGTCTAAATCCCCTAGGGGAACATAAATGCAAACCCACTGCCTGCCAATGCCTTCCAATACCCAAGACCTTGGAATTAAACTTTTGCAATATTCAATTATATTGCATCAAGTAATATGTACAGAAAACCTTTTCACAGGTGAAACATTCTCAGAATCATTTAGTAAGTCAAGCTACCTTTTATTTTAACAGCATAGTTAGTATTTTTCGCATAATATTTAGGTGTGAAATCATTAGCATGAATAATTCAGCTATGCTTTTTCATCTTTTTTATTCCTATTCACACTCTCCATTAACAAAGAAAACCTGGTGAGTAGAGTGCTGCAAGAACAGTAAGTGCATGAGTTGAAAAAATAAAATATATATGCTGAAGCTTTTCTAAGAGTGATTTATTATCCATGAAGTACAATATAATTACAGCATCTGTTGATTATAACTTTATTGTTATAGTTTCTTTGACCAATTTGTTAAAAACTGCCTGCATATAATGTGTTTCTTGTACAAAGCAAATCTGTGGAACAGAAAATAGCACTGCTGACATTATTATGATAGGGCAAGGAAAATAATGTAAAATGAATTTAGTAAGAGTTTAGGAAGTACCAAAATTATCACTGCATCCATTTAACTCACCACTTAAATCAATTTGCTTTATTCTTCCACCAGATTCCTGCCTCATTCCCTGCTCTTGACCTTTCTTCTCATGCCTTACACTCACTCTATTTAATATTTTTTTTACATCTTTCTCATTCATTGTGTGACCTCAGTGCCTTATTTGCTGCACTACTCTGACTCTCTGTGGATGAAAAACTTACTAATGCCCTAAAAGTAATTTATTGGTGGTTGGCTGTTTTTTTAAATTATTATTTGCTGTTTTTCTTTTTTTAGGCCACAGTATTTTAAGTTCACTTGTCAAACCACTGGGATAATAAATTTCCCAAGTAAGCAGGTTTAAATTACTTGTACTACAGATTAACCTATGAGCTTGCTCCTCTTCCCTATAACTGACAGAAGAGTTTTTCTTGGTATATGTAAAATATGGCAAAGCCATAAGCTGCTGATAATAGGTTCCTGTAACTGACAGTGTTGAGACTAGCACTGCTGGGTTTGGAGGTTCAATTAAATCAATAATCTCCAGTTAGGAAAAACTACGGTCTTGGCATTTGTAATGTCCTGTATTTTTTGTAGTATTGACTATTCCATTAATCTTCAAAATATATTTCAAAGAAATGACACAATTTGAAAACCAGCTGATTTGATGGAATGGCCCTCTCCTTATATTCCTATGAGTCACTCTGCAGGGAAAGTGATCTTTTTTCAATATATTTTTGTCTTTAGGAAACATTAACATTTAACTATATTTATGTGAACATGGAAATTAAACCTTTCTCATTATTTCATGTTGGTTTTTAGAAAAGTTACAGCTGGGCTTTTCCTTTCATAACTGATTACCAGCTGATTTTTGGCTCAAATGCCAGGAAAAAAATCCCCATTATTTGTTTAGCTAATTTAATTGAGTTGCACTGATTACGCTTTTGAAAAGACAACTGTGAAGCCAATATTACAGTAACGTTAGTTGATGGAAATTAATTAATTCTAATTTTTAGGTTAATTAATGGGAGTAACTTTATTAGGGGAAAGGGACATTCAGGCATAGATTAAATAAAAAAATTGAAACCCTATAAAATCAAATGAGATTAAAATCAAATGAGCTATAGGGTGGCTAAACATGTGGGAGCATAGCATCAGCTCTGTGTAGAGCAAGAATTTTCTTCTTTTAAAGAGGAAAAGAAGGAAAATTAGGAAGGATAATTTTGTAGGGGTTTATGGTAACAGTTCAAGGTTCAAGACTTAGGGTCCATACAGAGCCATCACTTATCCAGCTGGCAGAGAGGGCAGGATTATTAACTTACTTTGTGTTTCACACAGGCTTTGCTGGGCACAGCACAAGTGTACTGGACTCTATTCACCCACGTGAACAAAGGGCTTTAACTGTTGGTTTATGATTGTGCTGGGAGGGAATACGTCTGGTCTGTTTTTAACAGCTTTGTGCCAGAGAAAAAGACGTTTTCTTTTCAAGGCTTTTCAAAATAGAGAGACCTTAAAAATGTACTTCACTTTATCAGCTGACAGTGCTCATGCAAACAGAAATGAGACAGGGAAGAACAGGAAGGTCAAACTTGCATAAACACACTGTTGCATATGCTGACTGCCAGGAGAAAGAACAGCGTGCAGCTGAACTGAATGCATTATGCAGAGAAGACAGAAGATGCTACTTTGGCAAAGTCAAATTTCTCTTTTATGCAAGCTCCCATGGGATAAAGCTTAGAACTACTATTTCTTTTTAGTAATGTAGGAAGCATAAACTAAAATGGATTTTTATGAATCTGGCATGATGTTTTTAATGACAAAGGCAAAAGGGGCTTTTGAATGTCTTTGTTTCAAAGTACATCCTATATATTTTCTGTTTCCACCAGCAAAAAGCTAAATTTCCCAGCACCATCTTTCTAATAAAACTCTATCTCTTTTCAGGAACCCCACTTGCTGCTGCAGAGAGGCATCCACCAGAAGCTGACCTCCTTATCTTGAATTTCATATGTAATGAGTAGCTAAATCTGACACCAAATTATTTTAGGAAGAAAATTCAAAGTCAAGCCATTTCCTTTGAAAAAGCCATTTGAAACCTTTGGGGAACAGATATGGAAACATAATTTAAAACTCATTTCCCCACACAAGTGATTGGGATTAATTTCAGTAAATCCGGTGTTTGCTATGCACAGAACATCTCCTCTCTCACCACAAGCCCTGGACACTTTGGACTACTCTTTCATTGGACTACACTTTCAAAAGTGCTCCCTCATTCTGCTTGTGTAATTTGGATTTGGTTTTATCCACAAGAATGTCTCTTCAGTCACTGAGCCTGAGCCTGCTGTGGCTGAGGGAAAGTTACTGAGCCTGGCCTGGGCTGTGCCACAGGGAAGCAGCAGCACTGCAGTCCCAGCCCGAGCCATGCCAGGGACAGGCGCCTCCACTGATCATACTCAGGGGCTGGGGGAGAAGCTGTGCTGGCTGGCACCAGCTCTGTTGGAAAGCACTGCTTGCATTTGTAATGCAAAGCAGACATGATTTCAGAACCTGATCTCTTTGACAACAAAGGCTGTGGAAGATTAGAAATACTTAGATTTGCACTTCATTAAAAAATGTATTTCCCTCTGTAAAAGGAATTGGTTTTCTTAACTCATTTGCCTTGCTTCTCTCTTGAGTGTATTTGCATTTGTGCCTTTATTGTATTCCGGTAGTTCTATGAACTGTGGATTTTTTTCCCCACCAATTAGTTAATCTGGGGCTATTTTAATAAAGTCTTTTTGGCATTTAAAATATGTAGATGACAACATTAATCCGATTAAAGTTTACGTAAAGTTGATAATACAAAATGTAAAAAAGCAGTGCAAGGTACAATTACTAACATAATTATTTTCATTATCAATACAATTATATTTTTCAGTTGTTGCTTGCTTAACCTTTTTATTTTTTTCTCCATTTTTTTCATTAGCTCTAATCTACTGCTGTGAGAGGCAGTTCTCTGCTTCTTCAAGCAGTATGAAGGTAGAAGTGGACAGAACTATTAGCAGAGGGATAAAAGTCTTTTATCTCTTTCTGTCTGGCTGAACTCTAGTGAAGTAAACTCAACCAGCAGGACTGTTCATTTTTCTAGAGGGATGAGCAATTGGGGTCTCAGTTTATTTTCCAGTCCTGAATGGTTTCACTGAAAAATCATGACAATCTATAGGCTTGTAGGTATTATCAGGAAAAAGAGCCAAAACATACCATTTCATCCTTGGAAGTGTCCCAGGAATTATTTTAAAGGCCCACTCTATTCTGTTTCACTGGCAGGTTACCACCAGCGGCATTTCATCAGTACAATAAACCAGCTCTTGCACCTGGGCATAATGGGCAGCAAAATAAGTCAATGCCTTAAGAACTGCAAAGTGAAAATGCTGCAAAAAATGATGAGGATGTGATTTAAGACAGGCATTCAGAGTAAAGAGGTAGGTTTAATTTTAATGAAAAAGAGAGGAAGAAGCTCATGGGTGGTTTACATAGGTTAATTCTCATGTGACACTGTTCTCCAAGGGACTTGATTTATTTTGACTTGAAATTGGGCTGTGTCTTATGGCACTTCCCTTTTTGTCCATTCTAAAGGAGTGATCATGGAGAGACTCTGAACTGGTGAAGTCTGAACTAAAGGAAACTGCTGGCTTTGAAGCCCACAAGTGCACATGAGTTCCCACACCTACACTAAACTACAGTTGGGACTATCAGTGGATGATGTTTTTTCCTCTGGGATTTTCATGTTGCTTTGCAGGCAGCACTCACTTGAACTAATGAAAGCAGATGCTTCCAAACCTAAATCTACATCCCTAAGGGTAGGAATTCAAAGTTGAACTTCTTGATGTAAATTAAGGAAGACTTAATTCAAAAGGCTTGTATATGTAAAATGTTTCATCCACATCTAACCCTGGGATTTCTTGATTTCTCAGTCAAAGGAGCAGTTTAAGAAACTAGAATTCTGTTCTTACTAATACCGTGTCAGAACAATGTGTTTTGTGGCATCATTTTCATCCTGTGTATTTGGTTTGATCATCTATGAAATGAGTCTGTAATAATAAATAAATTTTTGGGTTTAATTAGATTCTACAAAATCCTTCAAAGTTTCCACTTATTTATGTTTGCATGTGCATGGTTCTTTGTCTTGCTTTGGTAAAGTGTCTCCTAAACTGCATGAGGCTGCAGTTTGTGAAATGCCTGGGGAGGTGGCTATGTCAGTTGAAATTAGGGTGAATTGTGCATGAAGCACGTATTTTCCTCATAGACATGATCTCAGCATCAACGAATAAAAAATATTTGTGCAGGCTCTCCCAAAGGGAAGCAAGTGAATGGAAAATGAGAGCTGCTCTTAATCTGTGTGATACCTTGAAAAAGCACACAGGAACCAATTGGGTCTTTCAGGCACAATTAAGGGTTGCAGAGCTACCCTTAAAGAAAACCCAGTGTGCAGCTGTCATTCAAAAACTCAGCTCCCAGGCTACCTGAATGAAAGGCTGAGGTACAACACAGCATTGGAGAAGCAATGGAGGAGAAGACAGCAATCAGAAAGGTTTATTCTCTAAATGAGCAGCAAAAAACCATTAAATATTAAAATGATGACCATACAGAATAGCAGATTAATGTACAGTTCTGAAACATGAGTCCTGATCCAGTGCGTAGCGTGTGTGCTGGATAAAACCTCAGAGCCTTATTTTTGCATAGATTATTAAAGATTTTATTAATTCCTCTAATGCCTAGGAAGCTACTGTGACTGACTTGTTATCCTAAAACAGTTGGCAGGATCTAAAGTTGAATCCTGACAAGACTACAGCAAGACCACCATTGGGAGGTTTTTCAATCCCTTTTCTGGCACACAGGACAGTTCCTGGCCTCTGCATGCTGCCAGTGTTGTACTCCTTGATTCTGCCCTTCTGAGCAAAAGGAGCATGGTCCAAGATTCACACATACTTTCTGAGCCTGGGAGCCCATTCACCTTATCCCAGGTACTCCACAAAATGTGGATGTCCAGTGTGGCCAAGGATATAACACATACTGAGTGAATTATGAGATGCTGTTAAACAGCACTTTAGTTCTGTAACTTGGGAGGTGAAAGGTGTCTAATTAGTAAGAAAAAGACAGAAGGAAGAATGAAGAGATAACAATAACGAGGCAAGGGAGGAAAAAGGTGCTTAGTGATGCCCATGATGAATACAAACACATGAAAGCAACTCAGGAATAGGCAACCCCTAATTGAGCTTTTTTTTTTGGTGCCACTATGTTATTGTAAACAGCTGAAGGGAAAGCTTTTTGAAAGAAACAAGCATGGATTACAAGAGAAGAGGAAACAATATTCATGAAGCATTTAATGATCATCAGTCTTCCTAATGCAATGCCTCATCCCAAATATTAAAAATGCTTTGAAGTCTGACAGCTGCTGTCTCTTCTTCCTCTCCAAAAATGTGGTCTTCTAAAGATAGCATGTTATCCAAAAGAAGCATACTTCAAAATTTTTAAAAGTTGCCATAGAGAGTTTCTTTCAAGTTATGTCAATTAGTTTGATTTTGTAATTCTAATAAAAGAAGTCTATAGGTCCAAAGTCAGCTATTAGCAGTTTTTGTTGTGGTACATCACATGTAGTCCCTCAAACATGGGAGAGGAAGGAAAACACAAGTCCGAGATGACACTGGACATCAATCATCCTCTAGGAATACTAGGGAATTACCAGAAAGTAATCTCTGACTAAGGTTTGTGCCAGTGAAACAATCTCATGTAATACACTGATTCATTCAGATGTCAGCCCAGTGGTCACTCCTTATTAGTAAATCTGTAGCAGCAGAATGTCTTTTCTCTGAATATGGTGACCAAACCTAAGCTCAGTACACTGTAGTTTGAACACAAACCTGCTGGAAGAAAGTACTATTTCTACTCAAAGATTTAATAATTCCCAGTGCAAATACCAATAAAGTACCTATGAATTGCTTAGCAATAGTTTAAAAAAAAAACTCTAGAAAGAGCAGCACTTTTTCTAGCTGAGAGATGTGTGCCAAACGTTAAGTCTACTGTGGAAAAGTTTGTCAACCCCAGCATTCAAGTGAAATTCCCTTGGTGCTTTCCTAAACTGTGGTTGAACAAACCAGCAGAACAGCGAAATACTCAGTGTCCAGAAGTTCCTAAAACTGGTGCTTCTGTAAGGCATCCAAGTGCTGGGACATGAGACTGGGAAATCTGCTGATCTGCAGAGTGCTGGCTCATCCATCACCCGCTCCCTGCACGTGTGTTCTGGCAGGTGAAGAACAGGTGTCAAATTCAAGTTGGCAATTCCTTTCATTGTAAGAGGGTAGGAGGAGACTGGAGGGCCACTTTACTCTGAGGAAAGGTCTGTCTGACTGTGCTGCTAGGCAGGCTGGACCAGCCCCAAAACTTCTGGAGAAAGTGTTGTCAGAAAGATGGGCCAGATGGTTTGTATTTAGAGTGATGGACCATGGATAAATAATGGCATTTGAATCCAGCAGATGCATATAATTAAAACGACTTAATTTAAAAGATGTGGAAAGGAAGTAGAGGAGAAGTGGGCTACTAGCTTTTTTTCACAAACAATGCCCACTTTAAGAAAATATTTTTCCCTTAGCCTGTCCTATTAATGTTTAGTTTCCTGCTGTTGTTGAATGTCTGCAGAACAGCAGAAGGCTCAAAATCACAAGGTTTTTTTTGCACTGTGTTTACACCATGTTAATCTCAGGCCTCCATGTTTCTCTAAGGTACCCATGGGAGATCAGGAAGACTTTTTAATGTATTTATGTTTATATTCTCTTTCGCTTTGCAATAGTATTTCTACTAACCTCTGCAGCATTGTAGTTTGGCTTTAGTTTCAGGTAGGATTTTGGCAAGGTATACAGAGTAATCTGCACTTGATGTATTATGTTTTTCACACAAGAGGAACATCTGAATTCTGTGGAGAATGTGTGTTAGTAAGCTGACAGGAAAACCAAAGAGCATGAAATTCAGATG